TGGATTCCTTTTTCTTCTCTGATTGCTGTGGCTAAAAATTCCAAAACTATGTTGAATAGTAGTGGTGAGAGTGGACAACCTTGTCTTATTCCTGATCTTAGAAGAAATGGTTTCAGTTTTTCACCATTGGGAACGATGTTGGCTGTGGGTTTGTCATATATGGCCTTTATTATGTTGAGGTAAGTTCCCTCTATGCCTACTTTCGCAGGGTTTTTATCATAAAAGGGTGTTGAATTCGGTCGAAAGCTTTTTCTGCATCTATTGAGATGATCATATGGTTTTTCTCCTTCAATTTGTTAATATGGTTTATCACATTGATCAATTTGCATATACTGAGGAATCCCTGCATTCCTGGGATAAACCCCACTTGATCATGGTGTATGATCCTTTTAATGTGCTGTTGGATTCTGTTTGCCAGTATTTTGTTGAGGATTTTTGCATCTATGTTCATCAGTGATATTGGCCTGTAGTTTTCTTTCTTTGTGACATCCTTGTCTGGTTTTGGTATCAAGGTGATGGTGGCCTCGTAGAATGAGTTTGGGAGTGTTCCTCCCTCTGCTATATTTTGGAAGAGTTTGAGAAGGATAGGTGTTAGCTCTTCTCTAAATGTTTGATAGAATTCGCCTGTGAAGCCATCTGGTCCTGGGCTTTTGTTTGTTGGAAGATTTTTAATCACAGTTTCAATTTCAGTGTTTGTGATTGGTCTGTTCATATTTTCTATTTCTTCCTGATTCAGTCTTGGCAGTTTGTGCATTTCTAAGAATTTGTCCATTTCTTCCAGATTGTCCATTTTATTGGCATAGAGTTGCTTGTAGTAATCCCTCATGATTTTTTGTATTTCTGCAGTGTCAGTTGTTACTTCTCCTTTTTCATTTCTGATTCTATTGATTTGAGTCTTCTCCCTTTTTTTCTTGATGAGTCTGGCTAATGGTTTATCTATTTTGTTTATCTTCTCAAAGAACCAGCTTTTAGTTTTATTGATCTTTGCTATTGTTTCCTTCATTTCTTTTTCATTTATTTCTGATCTGATTTTTATGATTTCTTTCCTTCTGCTAACTCTGGGGTTTTTTTGTTCTTCTTTCTCTAATTGCTTGAGGTGCAAGGTTAGGTTGTTTATTCGAGATGTTTCCTGCTTCTTAAGGTGGGCTTGTATTGCTATAAACTTCCCTCTTAGAACTGCTTTTGCTGCATCCCATAGGTTTTGGGTCGTTGTATCTCCATTGTCATTTGTTTCTAGGTATTTTTTAATTTCCTCTTTGATTTCTTCAGTGATCACTTCGTTACTAAGTAGTGTATTGTTTAGCCTCCATGTGTTTGTATTTTTTACTGCTCTTTTCCTATAATTGATATCTAATCTCATGGCGTTGTGGTCGGAAAAGATACTTGATATGATTTCAGTTTTCTTAAATTTACTAAGGCTTGATTTGTGACCCAAGATATGATCTTTCCTGGAGAATGTTCCATGAGCACTTGAGCAGAAAGTGTATTCTGTTGTTTTTGGATGGAATGTCCTATAAATATCAATTAAGTCCATCTTGTTTAATGTATCATTTAAAGCTTGTGTTTCCTTATTTCATTTTGGATGATCTGTCCATTGGTGAAAATGGGGTGGTAAAGTCCCCTACTATGGTTCTGTTACTGTCGATTTCCCCTTTTATGGCTGTTAGCATTTGCCTTATGTATTGAGGTGCTCCTATGTTGGGTGCATAAATATTTACAATTTGTTATATCTTCTTCTTGGATTGATCCCTTTATCATTATGTGTGTCCTTCTTTGTCTCTTGTAATGGTCTTTCTTTTAAAGTCTATTTTGTCTGATGTGAGAATTGCTACTCCAGCTTTCTTGTGATTTCCATTTGCATGGAATATCTTTTTCCATCCCCTCACTTTCAGTGTATGTGTCCCTAGGTGTGAAGTGGGTCTCTTGTAGACAGCATATATACGGGTCTTGTTTTTGTGTCCATTCAGCCAGTCTGTGTCTTTTGGTGGGAGCGTTTAATCCATTTACATTTAAGGTAATTATCGATATGTGTGTTCCTGTGGCCATTTTCTTAATTGTTTTTGGTTTATTATTGTAGGTCTTTTCCGTCTCTTGTATTTCCTGCCTAGAGAAGTTCCTTTAGCATTTGTTGTAAAGCTGGTTTGGTGGTGCTGAATTCTCTTAGCTTTTGCTTGTCTGTAAAGGTTTTAATTTCTCCGTCAAATCTGAATGAGATCCTTGCTGCGTAGAGTAATCTTGGTTGTAGGTTTTTCCCTTTCATCACTTTAAATATGTCTTGCCACTCCCATCTGACTTGCAGAGTTTCTGCTGAAAGATCAGCTGTTAACCTTGTGGGGATTCCATTGTATGTTATTTGTTGTTTTTCCCTTGCTGCTTTTTTTTTTTTTCGCGGTACGTGGGCCTCTCACTGTTGTGGCCTCTCCTGTTGCGGAACACAGGCTCCGGACGCGCAGGCTCAGTGGCCGTGGCTCACAGGCCTAGCCGCTCTGCGGCATGTGGGATCTTCCTGGACCGGGGCACGAACCTGTGTCCCCTGCATCGGCAGGCAGACTCTCAACCACTGCGCCACTAGGGAAGCCCTCCCTTGCTGCTTTTAATATTTTTTCTTTGTATTTATTTTTTGACAGTTTGATTAATATGTGTCTTGGCATGTTTCTCCTTGGATTTATCCTTTATGGGACTCTCTGTGCTTCCTGGACTTGATTGACTATTTCCTTTTCCGTATTAGGGAAGTTTTCAACTATAATCTTCAAATATTTTCTCAGTCCCTTTCTTTTTCCCTTCTTCTTCTGGAACCCCTATAATTTGAATGTTGGTGCATTTAATGTTGTCCCAGAGATCTCTAAGGCTGTCCTCAATTCTTTTCATTCTTTTTTCTTTATTCTGCTCTGCAGTAGTTATTTCCACTGTTTTATCTTCCAGGTCACTTATCTATTCTACCTCAGTTACTCTGCTATTGATTCCTTGTAGAGAATTTTTTATTGCATTTATTGTGTTGTTCATCATTGTCTCTTTGCTCTTTAGTTCTTCTAGGTCTTTGTGAAATGATCCTTGTATTTTGTCCATTGTATTTCCAAGATTTTGGATCATCTTTACTATCATTACTCTGAATTCTTTTTCAGGTAGACTGCCTATTTCCTCTTCATTTGTTTGGTCTGGTACGTTTTTACCTTGCTCCTTCATCTGCTGTGTGTTTCTCTGTCTTCTCATTTTGCTTAACTTACTGTGTTTGGGGTCTCCTTTTTGCAGGCTGCAGGTTCGTAGTTCCTGTTGTTTTTGGTGTCTGCCCCTAGTGGCTAAGGTTGGTTCAGTGGGTTGTGTAGGCTTCCTGGTGGATGGGAGTAGTGCTTGTATTCTGGTGGATGAGGCTGGATCTTGTCTTTCTGGTGGGCAGGACCACATCCGGTGGTGTGTTTTGGGGTGTTTGTGACCTTATTATGATTTTTGGTAGCCTCTCTGCTAATGGCTGAGATTGTGTTCCTGTCTTGCTAGTTGTTTGGCATAAGGTGTCCAGTACTGTAGATTGCTGGTTGTTGAGTGGAGCTGGGTCTTAGCATTGAGATGGAGATCTCTGGGAGAGCTCTCGCCATTTGATATTATGTGGAGCTGGGAGGTCTCTGGTGGACCAATGTCCTGAACTCGGCTCTCCCACCTCAGAGGCACAGGCCTGACATCCGGCTGGAGCACCAAGACCCTGTCAGCCACATGGCTAGGTACGTGGGGAGTTTCTTGCCTTTTGGGATGTCTGAGGTCTTCTGCCAGCGTTCAGTAGGTGTTCTGTAGGAGTTGTTCCACATGTAGATGTATTTCTGATGTATTTGTGGGGAGGAAGGTGATCTCCACGTCTCACTCCTCCACTATATTGAAGGTCTCTGCCTTGTTCTTTTTATTCTCCTAATCTTACCAATGCCTTTCCTTTAAAGTTGCTTCCATTATCAGTGCTTCCAACTTCTTGCTTTATGTGCTTCAAAATGATTAAATATGGATATCTGGTGCCTGTCTTGTTACTTATATAATTACTTCAGTGGTATTGAATTTTGAAACTCTTTAAATTGTTTCTTGATATGTTCAGAAGCTGATGGAAGTATATATTTGTAAGATCATCTTAGATAGAGAGCGCCGAATCTGAACCACTAGACCACCAGGGAGAGATCATCTTAGAAATAAAAGTAAAATATATGTGAATGTTTCTAAGGACATCTTATAAAGATGTACTTAACCATCAGCTTATAAAAATATCAATTTAATACCCAATTCTAAGAATTATACTTGTTATATAAGTTATATATATACTATGTATATATACTATATATACTATATATATACTATGTATAGTACATGCAGTAAAATATTTTACTTGCAATATGTAGTAATGTTTCTACCAGAAAAGGTGAATTCCTTGCTTTCTTTTGTCTATTCATTGTAGTCTGCTTAGTTTCTTTCACTGCTTGCCAGCACTGAATTATGAGAACTGATGGCTGGTGCCATTTATGAGATCATGTGTTGGTTATTAAACCTTAGAGTCCTCTTCATGTTCCCTGCTGTAGTCCTAAAAGAAGGCATGTGATTGTGTTTTTCACTCCATAGCCTCTTTTGCTTTCGTTAGTGTATTTTCCTTTACTCTGGTTCTTTAGTTTTAAATTTTATTGTATATTATCAGTAATGCTAATTTTATTTAGAGCATCCTCCAATATTTTAAAGTTTTTTTGTGGATGAAGAAAATATTCTAAATGCCTTGTGCTTTATAAGGTATATTGTTTCACTCATTAGTAAACTGATTTTTGGAATGTTGAGCTCAAAACAATGACTAAATCCTAAGGATGTTTCAGCTTTTGAGCAAATTGAAAGTTTTTTTTAAAAAGGAAGTGAGATCAGTCTGCAAATAAGGCAAAGCTTTACAGGGGTTCTTCAGGCAAGAAAGGAGTTTGAGGCATAATCATTATCCCTAGTTTTGTGTTCACTTTCACTTTTCCCAGAAGTCCTTTGCTTTTCTTTGTTAGGTGTGGAGGGTGCAGCTTTCCAGAGTAGACTTCCTCATGACCGGATGACTTCTCAAGAAGCAGCCTGTTTTCCAGATATCATCAGTGGACCACAGCAGACCCAGAAGGTTTTTCTGTTCATTAGAAACCGCACAGTAAGTTTCCAATCAGCTTTTTTCCACCTGAATTGTAAAAGGTACATATTACTTTTATATAGAATATGGGGGGGGAAATAGAGAGGAAAGAATTTTTAAGTTATCTGTAATACTATTCCGAGATAACCACTGTTAAAAATTAGGTGTTTTTTCCTCCAGGTATTTTTTTAAAGGTATATTTAATTTTTGTTTTTACAAAATTGAGATCCTACTTCCATGCATTCTTGGGATCCTTTTCTTTCCTCATAACCTCATAAACACACAATAAGAATCTTTATATACTTTTTTTTTTAATAATACATTAAAAATAATCATTTTGTCTTTCCTTCCCAGGGTAAGAGAAACCCTTATTCTGTTCTACTCATCTGGCTCATCTTCCTCCTCTGGCTAAATGGTTGATTTTAATGTCGGCAAAATATTTTTTTGTCTGACAGTTGGGTCATACTTTAACTGTTGGGCATTTAAATGTCCGTTTTTGCTTATTATAATGAAGCTCTGAACAGCTTTATACATTCTTGACTCTTATCTCTGGTTATTTCCTTAGGATAGAGTTCTAGAAGGAAAACTACCTGGTCAAAAAGTATGAATGCTTTTAAAGATTTGATACATGTTGTCAGATTGCTTCCCAGAGAGGCTGACCTAGTTGACACTCTCATTACCCTGCCCTGTTTTTTTTGTTGTTGTTTTTTTTCCTGCCCTATTTTTGTGATTAAAACGATGATAATCTGTGCTGCTGTAGTAGACCAAAATCATTTCATTTATTTTCCATTTCTTTGATTACTTAGACTGATTGCTTTTTTTTTTTTTTTTTTTTTGCGGTACGCAGACCTCTTACTGCTGTGGCCTCTCCCATTGCGGAGCACAGGCTCCAGACGCGCAGGCTCAGTGGCCATGGCTCACGGGCCCAGCCATTCCGCGGCACGCGGGATCCTCCTGCACCGGGGCATGAACCCGTGTTGCCTGCATCGGCAGGCAGACTCTCAACCACTGCACCGCCAGGGAAGCCCCAGACTGATTGCTTTTTCACATTTATTAGTCATTTGTATTTCTTCAGTGAATTTTTATTTAATGTCCTTTATTCAACAGAAATTCTTTATATACTATTCAGAACATATTCATTGTACTCTGGAGTGATACAAAGTAGAAGAAATTCATGTTGTAATTTTAGTTATTTTGGATATAGCTCAGAGATGTCTTTTTAGCCACCACTAATGTCTTTATTTTGACCATTACATTGCACAACTACTGCTAAATTTGGGTTGTTAAATGCCATTCATCTAGAGTGATTGGTAGGTTTTTGTAGTACAGAATAAAGGTTCTCTTTTGTGAAGGAAAATAGGGTGATTTTTTTAAAGTGAATGGAAAATTCTTAATGTGCATTTCTGAGGCTGATTTGTCTTATAATTGAATCAACTTCTTTGTGTAGCATGTCAACATTTGTTCTAAGTGGATTTCAGACAAAATTGTCATTTTTTTGTTTAATCCTGAGGGGAGTTTTTACTTTTTACTTGAATTTGAGTGGTGGATTTGTAGTGATCTCTGTTTTCTCTGATTCATTACCTGTGACCAGAAATCCAGATTTGGGGAAGGACTAGCCCAGGTTAGAGTTGTGATCTCTGGCTATAAAACGGAACTTAAGTCATTCTTTCCTGTAAGAATTGTGTCAGTTCTCTCGTGTTAAACTGCATCTTTTGCTTCCAGATTTTAAAACCACAACTTCAGGATTATTCAACTAGAACCTATGACCTGACCTTTATATTATAAGATGGAAGGAGGAAGGCTTGTGTTGAGGGGTGATGGACTTGGGCCCACTGTGTGCTTGAGGAATTCCATTTTCCTTTGACAGTGGCCACAGAGAAAAGCAGAGGGTCCATATGGATTTGGTCATATCTCTTTGTAATTGAATTTATTTACACTTTTTTTTTTTTTTTTTTTTTTTTTGCGGTACGCGGGCCTCACACTGTTGTGGCCTCTCCGTTGTAGAGCGCAGGCTCCGGACGCGCAGGCTCAGTGGCCATGGCTTATGGGCCTAGCTGCTCTGCAGTATGTGGGATCTTCCCGGACCGGGGCACAAACCCATGTCCCCTGCATCAGCAGGCAGACTCTCAACCACTGCGCCACTAGGGAAGCCCTGAATTTATTTACACTTTAGTTACTTCTTTGAAACTTGTTTATGGAGCAGTCTTTATAACTTTTAGCTAAGACGTAAATATGATGGTATTCAGCTGGTCTTACATTTTGCAGATATATATTCAGGTTTGAAAAGAATTCATGTTAGAGCCCATTGATGGTACCATAATATTTTTTATTCCTCATCTTACTGCTTTTTCAGCAGTATTCAAAATAATTGACTCCTCCTTTCTTAAATACACAGCTCCCTTAGCTTAACACATTATTCTAGTTTTTCTCCTGCCTCCCTGGTTGTCTTCTCTGAATGCTTTTTAGCCTTATCCTTAACAACAGGCCACTATATGAACTGGTTAGAGTTCCTTAAGGTCCTCTCCTCTCTCCCCTGTTCTTTCCCACTAGGAGCCCTGTTCTACACACTTGGCTTCAGTTATCACCCATAAGCAAGTGGCTCTAAACCTTAACTCTCCTCTGAACCCCAGCTATGTATCTAGATGACAGTCTTTCACCTCCTCTTGTTGTCTTGAAACTTATCTCATTATCTCTTATTTCAGTGTCCCTCATTCAGTGAATGGCATACCAACTCATTTAGTTGTGCAAGCCCCAAACTGAGGAGTTATCCTTTGCACACACACCTCCCCACATATCTGATTGATCATTTGATTTTGTATCTACTCAGGATCTCTGGAGTTATCTAACCCAGGTTTAAATTCTTGTTGCTCCCCCACTGTATGATCTTGGCAAGTTACTAGGCAGGCTAAATTATCTCCTAGCTTCTTTAATAATTCACTCATTTGACATAGTTTTGTGTTTCATTAGTTTCTTTGTCAGGAATATAACCCTTACTGTTTCACTGAAAGGAAAACCTATATTTGAGGCCTTAAAGTTAAAAAGATATTTTAAAGTGATTAAATGGTATATGTCTATTTGATTGTAATACAGTTTCTATCATTTAAATACAGTTGCAGTTGTGGTTAGATAATCCAAAGATTCAGCTGACCTTTGAGGCTACTCTCCAACAATTAGAAGCACCTTACAACAGTAAGTAGTGTGTTCAATAGGACTGGTTTTGAACTGGATTTGAAAATGGATACTTCCTTCCAGAAGCTCATGGTTCCTTGATAATGAATTTGATAATTAATTTTCATCTTCTTGTGCTATGCAAAAATGAGCCTTGCAGCAAAACAATTTTGTGTTTGTAATTATTTTTCTGATTTTTTAATTGTGTTGACAGGTGAGTGAGTTCAGAGATTGCTAATAATTTCTCCAGACCTATGTTCCAGCTTTAATCCACATAGTACTTTGCTGGCATTCAGGCTGTCTATCTGGCTTTCTCATTTCCCACTTGCCACCAGCAGTCTTGTAAAGTTTTTGCCAAAGTAAATGAGCATAATACTACTTTTAAAAGGGTTGATTTTGTCCTTCATTTCATCTGTAATGAGATGTCATTTTTAAAAATTCGAAATTATGTGATACGCATTTTGGACTACCACACAGATTAATAGTTCTAAGAATCACTTTTCTAAAGGAGTCACATGACTTGAAGCTTATAGAAAAGAAGAACAGAATGAGTTCATGATGGAGAAATAGAAGAAGAGTTAAGAGTTTTCCATTTAAAGTGCTAAAAAGATAAACATGTTTTTAAATTCATTTTTCTGTAGGTGATACTGTGCTTGTCCACCGAGTTCACAGTTATTTAGAGCGTCACGGTCTTATCAACTTCGGCATCTATAAGAGGATAAAGCCCCTCCCAAGTAAGGACCTGGCCAATGAATTTTATGGTTTTAAATTAGGTTCCAGCAGGCTTTTTAGCATTTTATTTTGATTTCTAAATCCATATTTAGAATCAAAATATTCCCAAGTTTATCTTTTATAAGTCAAATTTAAAGTAAAACCTCTTTGTAAATGTGAATTTCCTATAATTTCTGGTTTGATAAATACTTGGTAAAAGATACTGAATTTCCAATTTAAGAAAAAACAAAGTAGAATTTATTAAAAATGAAAAGAATCAGTTATAAAGTAGGAAGTTTGTTTTCTCTCATTAACCAGTTCTTTAATGCAATGCTAAAGGTTGCATTTTTATTTTTTAAATGCTTTTTACCCTTTTAATGGTGTCTGGATAATGTCTGCCAGGAATCAGAAGATAGGGATATTTTGAGAATTAATACATCTATCTATCTATTTATTTATAATAAATTTATATTTATGCTTTAATAATTTTTCATAAAAGGAAACTAAAGACTGCAGAAGTAGAGCTTAAAGAAAATAGCTTTAATAATCGATTGGTTGACTGCTCAAATTGTCCTAAGTATAATTGTGAGGTAAATATGGGAGATTATTCATAATAAATTAACCGAGGGTCACAGATGCTGAAGCACCTGGCTGAGGTAATGAAAAAGTAAATCTTAAGATAAAGGATTTCATTTATGAATTTTCAACATTGAATTAAAGTTTATAAGTTTCAGATATTTGCTAATTTGTATTCATATAGTTTTCATATTTTGAAAATAACTCTGAATTGTTACTTTGTGAGACGTCATAACATGTTAAGAACCTAGAAATTTTCTTGATAAAAAAATAACAAATAAAAACTCTTAAACCTACAACAAAGTATTTTAATTTTTGTTCATTTTTTAATTTTAGCTAAAAAGACAGGAAAGGTAATCATTATAGGCTCTGGAGTCTCGGGCTTGGCAGCAGCTCGTCAGTTACAAAGTTTTGGAATGGATGTCACACTTCTGGAAGCCAGGGTAAGAATTTTATTTTGGGTTTAGAAGCCCACTTAATGGAAATATGGTAAGGAAATTATCTGTTGCAAATTAAGGAATCCTACAAATTGAACTAAATAAAACTGATTTAAATAATACTCAAAGTATTTTGACAGTGTTTACTGCATTGGATAAAGGATTTTTGACAGTAAAACTTTGAAAAGTGCTCAGTGAGTATTTAGAGTTTATAAATAATCCATATAGCCCTTTGATGTATATTTTCAGGTCATTGTTTCTTGCAGCTAACTTTCAATTTGGGGGCTTTCTCGGACATACTCTTTACAGGATGCAGTTATTTTTAGTGGTGGGACAGAGTGAATTGTATTCTGTTTGATTGTAAACGGAAAGGAGTTGCTTCTCAGACAGCAGCCATCTTTTACAGCCTGGTGAAGCCAAGATATTGACTCCTTATCATTAGTCCTAGAGAGAGAAATGGAAACTGAAAGAGGATGGGGATGATGGCACAGAGTGGAAAAAAAGAACATCCCATTAGGATGTTACTATTCAAATCATTTTCATGAGTAATTTTTGAGATTTAATTATTTTTCAGTGGCTTAAAGACCTCCCTTGACTCCTACCATTTAAAGAAACAAAAACCAAACAACAACAAAACACTTCTCACATAACCTAAACAATCTAAAATTTTATAAAAGCTTTCAAAATGTTTTGTGCAGGGCAATCTAAATTGCTTTTTACAAATTCCTAATTTTTTAAAATGTTCTTTTCAAATAGAGTATGGAGAGATCAAAATTAAATAATTCCTGATACAGTCTTACTTTAATATTTTATTCATTAATTCACAAAAAATTTGTGTGCCCTCTGTCTCCTGTGTACAAAGAATACAGCAAGGAATAATGGGATCATTATGATTCCTACCTATGTGTGCAGGTTTTTGTTTTGCTTTTTTTCATTTGTTTGTTTGGAGTTTACAGAGTACTCTCATGTAATCCACGACTGAAGTATCATTGCAGCTCAGTAAGATTTCCCCATACTTGAAAATCTACAGTCAGCAAAGATAACACTTGGGCCTGTGTAGAAATGAGAGGTATTGTCAACAGTTCATGCTCAGTAGACACTCTGCCCTTGGGCATGGGGCTGCACTGGAGAGGCATTTGTCAGATAGATATCAAATCATTCACAGCTGACTTTGACACTGTGGGGCAAGAGTCAGAACATGATGGTAGGAAAATGGCCTTTAGTGTTGAAATTTGTGAACAAATATTTTCTATGTGAGTGGCCCTTGCTCAGCCTGTACAACTGGTGTTAGAGACATTAGGGTAGGTGGCTAATAGTACCAGTAACTAAGTATGTCTTCTGGGTGTCAAATTGTTTCCTACCTCACATCACTTAATTCTGTTCCTTTTATATGTCATTCATTACCTACCACTCTCTCAAATAGTTAAAGTTCATTTGCTCTTTGTGCTCACATTGTACTCCATGTAACCTCTAAGTACACCTTTCTTTTTAAGTTATCAAAGAGCCCTGAGATGGTACCTTGCCAGGTTATTATGGTTAAACTAGAATTTATGATTTTAGCCATTTAATTTCTGAAAAACAGGATCGTGTGGGTGGACGAGTTGCTACATTTCGCAAAGGAAACTACGTAGCTGATCTTGGAGCCATGGTAGTAACAGGTCTTGGTAAGTAGTTCTTAGTTTTGTGCTGTAATACAAGGTCTGAGACTCATAAAATTGTTTAATCTTACATATATATATATATATATATATATATATATATATGTATGTATGTATGTATGTATGTATATTTTTTTTTTTGGCTGCGTTGGGTCTTTGTTGCTGCGCGTGGGCTTTCTCTAGTTGCTGTGAGTGGGGGCTACTCTTTGCTGCGGTGCGCGTGCTTCTCATTGCAGTGGCATCTCTTGCTGTGGAGCATGGGCTCTAGGTGCACCAGCTTCGGTAGTTGTGGCACACGGGCTCTAGAGCGCAAGCTCAGTAGTGTGGCGCACGGGCTTAGTTGCTTCGTGGCATGTGGGATCTTCCCGGACCAGGGGTCAAACCCTTGTTGCCTGCATTGGCCGGCGGATTCTTAACCACTGCGCCACCAGGGAAGTCCCTGTTTAATCTTATATTTTAAAGCCATAGATGCAATTTTAAAATATATTGGTTAGGATACTGTTCTCAGTATTAGTGAGAGGTAAATTGACAAATAGTCTTCCTGAAAAGATACATCAATATGAGCATAATTTAAAATGTACATAGATTTTAACCTAGCGGATCCAGTTCTAGGAAATTATCCTAAGAAAATAGACAACTGGACAGTGACGTAGCAGAATGTTAGAAACCACAGATTAGAAGATTAAATTATTATACAATGAGAACTATGCAGCCACTAAAAATTATGTAGCTGCATATTAACATGAAATTATGTCCACATTTGTTGCTAAGTTGGAAAAAGATCACAAAACAGTGCATGTGTTATGATCCTTTTGTATGTATATGTCTATAATTTTATGCACATAAAATCTAGAAGGGTCTGTAATGTTAACTAATTTTTGGTAATAGGTAATGTTTTGCTTTCTTCTTTATGCTTAACTTAAATATTTATTTTACTTTGGGCATTTTGTTGATATATCAATTCATGTACCCTAAGCTTTGATATTTTAAATTTTGAGTAAAAATATTTTTGCATTGAGGTTTTTGTTCTCTTTTCATAGGTATGTTGAATTTAATTGTTGGAGTTTTTTCTAGGAGGGAATCCCATGGCTGTGGTTAGCAAGCAAGTAAATATGGAACTGGCCAAGATCAAGCAAAAATGCCCACTTTATGAAGCTAATGGACAAGCTGTAAGTTGACAACAAACTGCTTTTCACAATTTCTTTGGTTCAGTCAAACAGTTTTGGGGAAATATGTGAATTAATATACACACATATAAATATGAACTGAGAGTAGAAATGGTGTGACATTATTGTGATTGTTTCTTAAATCTGAGCTGTATAGGAAGGGGTTATACATGCCTGTTTAGGCATTTATCTTTAAATACTTGATGAAGATTAGGCTAGCTAGGCTGTTAAGTTTTTTAGTTTTTGATGGGCTAATAGCGAAATGGTGGTACTAACCTGATGCTTAGGTAGGTTAAAGTGTTTGTTGATCAGAGGCATAGGAGCTTCCTATGGTTGGTATGGTAGTAGCATGGAAGTGATATTCAGTATGGGAGAGTAAGAGTGTTTTAACAGCTGTATTATAGGTGATGTAAGTCAGTCATAATTTTTAGGGGTCTGTGAAACTCAAAAGTTTGTATTCAGAATTTTTGCCAACTTCCCTGTTAGGAGTGAGGGAGTCTACAATTCTCAGGCTATAAACACACTATCATCTTTATATTTGAAGGAAGGGAAAGCTTGCTATGTATATGGCAGTTTAGCCTACTGTTATTAAAAGTGGTTAGATTCCAACTCTAGAATTTTGTGTGATAGGTCCCATGGGACATCCTCACCTTTTCCTGTCTACCTTTAGGATTTATGCAGTTCATATCAGAGAAGCACAAACTTTTAGGAAATGTTTTGGTTCCCATCCCCACCATTCTGGATCCATATTTCCTCCCAGGGCTTTTTTGGGGGAAAGGGGAAAGGGCGGGCAGCCTTCTGGCAAAATAAACAAAGTAGAAAGGAAAAGGATGAAGTAGAGGTTAATTCAACAATTCTATAAACTTCTATTTACCCTGCAAAGACCTGTAAAAGATAAAGAGATAAGACAGTCCCTGCCATGTAAGACCCCATAGTCTGGTGGTACTTGTACACAAATAATTATCTTTTCCCACCTTTTTATTATAGAAATTTTCAAACATATACAAAAGTAGAAAGAGTACTATAATGGACTCCCATTTTTCCAGTCTTGTTGAGAGCAGGGGAAGTGACATGACCAGATAGGTGTTTTAGGTAGATAGACAGTAATTTAGAGAATTGAATTGAGGAAGCAGGGTCTCTGAAGTAGATATTACATTAGTCCTCAAGAAGTAATGGAATCCAAACCAAAGATTATCACTGATCTTTGAGACACTGTCTTTTTCTTTAGACTTTCCTGAATGTAGAGCAGGTTCATTTAGTCTTTCTAACAGTAAAAAGTGAGGGTTTTTTTCCTAGTAGAGATATCCAAAGAAATTGTCTGCTTTCTTGGTATTAGATAAGCTGTAAAACATTTTTTAAAACACTTGTTTCTAAATAACATACCAATATTTGCTGAAGTGTGGCCTGTAGCCAGCTGCCAATCCATGAACTGTTGGTTACTAGTATGGGATGAGATTAATATCTTGTACCACAATGTAAATAAACCACATCATTTAACTACAATGTTTGTTCAGATGATGACTTTTTTTTTTTTTTTTTTTGGTAGCAAGACTGTCAACGAAAGAAGTGGTGGTGCATTTAGTTTATGTTCTGGCATAAGCTCCTTATTTCACCAGGACCAGCCCTTTGGGTAGCATTTTGGTACACAGTTGTTAAGCTGCTGTGTGGTTTTCAGCATTTTGTTGTCATTCAACTCTGATCTTTATAGGATTTTTCTAGGTTTGGTTTGTTTGTATTTGGTGAAGCAGCGAAATGGTAAGGAGGATTCTTTAAGCATTCTCAAATTTGGGAAAAAATTCTTTGCAGCTTTGAGTTCTGCTTGCCTTAAGTTAGTCAATCAAACATAAGAAGACATGTTAATATTTCTTAATCATGCTGTTCCCAGTGGTCTAGCTCAGAGTAGGAATGGACAACCGGTGACCAGTAGACTGGCTTTTGGCTTATATGACAAGTACTAAGAGCTTATAGCCTGGTTAATTTATGCTTATAATCACAGATATGTGTCGTGGCTTTAGAAATCTAAGGAATAGCTCAGTCAGTTGCTTCATTCTCCCATTTTGCAGGGGAAGAATCTAAAGCACATGCATGTTTCCCTGAGGTCATTATAGTCAGTAAGTTGCAGAGCCAAGGTCCGTTGTCTGGTGTTGCAGCTTTAATGCCCACATTTGTTCTGTTCTGCCTGGCTGATATTTCAGGGAAGGTGGGGGCATGGGTGAGTGTGCAGTTCTGACTGCCAGTGTGACTGCATCAGCTGAGTCTCCTTCTCAGAGAGCTTTCTTTTAATAGTTATTCTAAGGAGGCCCATGATGATATTCACTCAGCCATTGATTTTTCTTCAGTGAACTGTTGAACGAAATGGGATGTGTTCCTCCATTCTCTGTGGATAGCCTCAGTGGAAAAGAGGGTGATTGATTTGATGGTTCTGTTGTTAGTACATAGAAATTAATTATTTCATCCTATACAAGGCCAGCAGTTAACTCAGAGTTATTAATATCATTTGTAATATTGTCTTAAGGACATATCACCATACTCAGCCATTTTGCTGCTATGGAAAAAAAATCATGTAGTAAGTGGTTTTTGTTTTGTTACCTTGTTATTGTTTTAAAAACAGTCACAAGAATCCCTGAAAGAGTTTGCCTCTCTCTTCTCTCTGGTCCTGGACTGGCAGCTAGTATGTTGAGCTTGTATGTTTGTTTTTGACAAAGGAAGCTTATTTGGCTTTGGTTGACTAGAACAGGGCTTTCTAATCTGGTTCTACTATAGGATATTCTTATAAATAGAAGTATCTTCCAAGCCTATAAAAACAATCAGAGGGCTTCCCTGGTGGCGCAGTGGTTGAGAGTCTGCCTGCCGATGCAGGGGACACGGGTTCGTGCCCTGGTCCGGGAGGATCCCACATGCCGCGGAGCGGCTGGGCCCGTGAGCCATGGCCACTGAGCCTGCGCGTCCGGAGCCTGTTGCTCCGCAACGGGAGAGGCCACAACAGCGAGAGGCCCGCGTACTGCAAAAAAAAACAAATAAAAACAATCAGAGCTAATAAAGCAGGTGCCCTCGGATTAACTGATGATGGGGTTATCCTCTGAATTATGCAGTTTTAAATAGATATGGGTAAGGTTGGGAAATAGGTAATTCATACTTCAGGAGCGTTTTGGGAGTCACCAGTGAGAGGACTGAAAACATGGATTGGTGGGGGAGAGTGGAGAAATGACTGTGAGTGTTTTCTGCATCTCCTATACAGCTAGTAACTTGGGGACTTTAGATCCTAGTTTTGTGTTTGACTTTTTTTGAGTAATGAAAAGGTATCTGAAGTGAGTGAGTGTGTGAGAGAGAGAGACTCTGTGTGTGTGTGTGTGTGTGTGTGTGTGTGTGTGTGTGTGAGATTATTAAGTGAGATCAAAAGACTCAGTAACTACTTAGAGAAACAGAACCTGATTATGAGGAAGAAAGATAACACTTGAAAGGTAGCACATGCCAGGCTTCTTAGAAATACCATTGATTGGATGCACTCAATACCTATCATAACTTAGCAAGTTTCCACTTTTATTCATAGAGAGTGGTGCTTAAGTGGTTATACTTTTGACAGAGGTATCTTGGCCGTTTCAGTTTTCATCTTCCTTTTTGGAAACATCTTTGGTATCTTTAAGGAAGTCTTTCTCTACCCTTTAAAATCATGACTGCCAGTCCCTGCTTTTTATAAATGTAAAAATCTCATGCCTTCCTTTAATGTTTTTGAAGTTGGAAAATAAGTTTTTTCCCCTCAAATATAGTTACAATACTGACTGTTTTCCAAACTATATTAATTTATTTAACAAGAATTTACTGAGCACCTCTGCTATGTGCTAAAAGTTGCTGGAGTGCACTCCTTAGACATGCCATGTGTGCCTTCTCCACATGGCTTAGTCCCTGCTCTAGGAAAATCAGTTATTTACATCCCCTAAAAGATTCCTTATGAGGTAAAAGAAGGAGAGGGAGGCAACAGTCTCCATTTATAGAATCACATTGAATTTTATTTGAATTAAGGATATACCTGTTGTCCTTATTCTCCCTTCAGGGTTAATAACAGTATCTCATTTCCCTTAGCTATTTGGGAATCTGGGTTAGATACTCCTCAGATGCAAATTTCTTTTTCCACTAATCTTTCGTTTTACCGTAATTGTAGAAGTGCATGGGGATGGGAGAGGTGGAGGTTGACTGTGGCCTCTGTTGGCCAGATTTTGCCATTACAACTTTCTTCAGTGTGTAATTCTTCCTGAGGATTTCTCTGGCTAAATCTCAGAACTTTGAGTGCCTGGAACCTAGGTACACTTAACTGCATTTTTGCTCTGCTGCTAGAGACTTATGCAGACTGGAAGTATGACAGATGGGCAATGTTTTTGAAGACCTACCAAGCTTGTGATGATAGAATGCAACCAGAGGTAGAACTAAGGAGAGCTGTCCTTCCTTTGAGATGATTTCTTATAGAATCAGGAACCCTGTCCAGAAAGTTGTTTGGCTCTCTCAAAATTTATTCTGCATGAGCCAGTCACACAGGCTTCCCCACCCCGACCATGTTCACGGATGCTCCATATAATCCATCCTCCATATATGGATGCTCCATATAATAGGATCAAAACAGTCAGAATTATACCCTATTTAGAGGAGTGAGACTCACCAAATTTTTAGTCTTGAAGGAACCATTTATTTGGAGCCTTTCATTGAGAAATAAATGGTCTTGAAAAATCATAAAATCTGTTTCAAGCAATAGCCTTTTTGTTTGATTCTTTGCTAGGAAACTGTATCAAAGGTCCTTTCCCGAAAGACTGCTTCTTCGTTTGTTGTTATGTGTTGTCACTGTGTTGTAATATAGAAATCCAGCTGCGTAAAATGTGGTGCTTAAGCCTTGGTAATCATTTGCTGAGTTCCTTTCTGAGGATGCAATTTAAGAATATAGAATAGAACAGTCAGGTTAGGGCTTCCCTGGTGGTGCAGTGGCTGATGGTCCACCTGCCGATGCAGGGGATACGGGTTCGTGCCCCGGTTCGGGAGGATCCTGCGTGCCACGGAGCAACTAAGCCCGTGTGTCACAACTACTGAGCCTGTGCTCTAGGGCCTGTGAGCCACAACTACTGAGTCCGTGTGCCGCAACTACTGAAGCCCACACACCTAGAGCCCCTGCTCCACAAGAGAAGCCACCACAATGAGAAGCCTGCGCACCACAACAAAGAGTAGCCCGTGCTCACAGCAACTAGAAAAAGCCTACACAGCAATGAAGACCCAACGGAGCCAAAAATAAAAATAAATAAATTTATTTTCTAAAAAAAGCATGAATGGTCAGGTTAAACTAAAATTATTGTGACTTGTGTCAGAGATTACCAATATTTCAACATCCTTTCATAATTATTTGTGGAACTAACAGAGTCCAAGGGCTCTCACCAAAGGGAAAGAAATGACCTGAAACAGGTATGTAGGGGGTGCTTAGGATAGTCAGTTGCTAAAGTTCTTGTCATTGTCTGAGTGTGTCAAGTAGAATATATCTAATAGATTAATTTTAGAAACAGAGTCAAGGTTTAAATACATCAAAAAACACATTTTGGTTTTCTCCCAGTCAGTATTGGTGTCCTAATGGACAAGTATTTTATTTACTATTTTCCAAATATTTCTTTAATTTTAAAGTGGAATTTTAAAATTAATGGGAAAAAATCCAGGTTTCAAAGCTACCCCTGGTGTCACTGACAACATTCCTATAACTGCTTAGCAGAAAATAGATGGGACCTGACTGCTGACTGGAGCCCCGAGTTAGAGGGGGTGTCCTAGAGATGCAGTCATATCATTCTGGTATCAATCAGATGCAGCAGTGATCCTTTGGTTTGGTGTTTGTTTGGTTTGATTGTTGTTCTTTTTCTCTTGTACTGAATTTTGCTTATTCCTCTCTGCTTTCTGCACTGTCTCCCTTTACCACCCCCGCCCCCACCCAAAGTGCCTTTCTTTTGCCCATTTCTGTGCCTTGACTCTCTCATTTTAGTCTCTGTACAGTGTGTTCCTTATTTCTCTGGTAGTTGCAACTTCTGAGCTCACAATGCTTCTGTCATGCTGTGTGTTTAAAGCCTTGATTTTACTGCCGTCTTACAAAACTAAACTTGGCTTGGCTGTGGGCTCTTATTTACAGTTTATTTCTCTCTCTGCTGCACTGGTTAAAAGGACACTGTCAAGGTATTTTTCTTCCGTAATTTTTCAATTCATTTTCCTCACTGTTTACAGTAACCCATTAAAAGCTTGAAACTTAAATCTTTCCCTTCCAAAGATCCCGTCCATCAATACATTCCCACTGGTTTGTTGTTGTAGAGTTGCACCTGTATGTTGGGCTGGTGCCATTTGAGTATTTGTCATTGAAAGCGCATATAAAAAGTCAAGTTTTTTGTGAGGGGTGTGGGTGGACTAAAGGGGAAAGTGTAATGAATCAAGTGGGCTGCTCAGCAAACAGAGGGAAGAAACAAAAGGTCAAATTTGGTCCCTCTAACCTTGACAGTGTCCCTTTAAATATTTCTGTACCACACACCCTGGACCCCAGATACTGAGCCTTTGAGTGCTGCGTACTTTTTCAATATGAACTTCCCTATGTGACTGTCACTCTAGCTGTAAAGATTAGAGCTTGTCTAAAGCAAGCCATCCAGTTGACACTGGAAGAGCTTTAATCTGTACCATTTGCAAACTTGGCGTATTGGCACTTTCTGTCCTATTGTAGAGGCATATGTGATCTGATCCCTCTTGCTGCTATAGCACCCTCCTGCTAGGCATTTTAGAAGCCACATGTAGAGATATCACCATTTGTACTCCAGGAAGAGCAGTCATTCATATTAAATCTGTGATCAGTGAAGATCTCATAACTATGTAGATTTCATATTGAAAATGTGATTGTTTCCTTTTTAAAGGAGCACCAAATTTAGAACCATCTTTTGTAACATCACTGCGGGAATTAACACCAAGCAAAATTTGAGCATTGCTTTGAGCTGTTCTTTATGTGACCATCATATATAGAGTATATATAACTGACAGGAAAGTAAATGAAATTCCTGACAAGAAGGTCACTTCCATCAGCTCTGATAGCTGTGTAATCAGAACAAGTAGCGATGTCACCAAGAGCTCCTTTCTTTGGCCCTGGACTTGAATGGGTAGGTCAGATGTGTTTGATCCACCAAGTCCTAGGTACCACCCTGATATATAAATGGCACCAAGCATCCAAAGCCTGATTCACTGCCTTATTTCTCAACATAAACCAAAAGATTCTCAGGGGTTTCTATTTCTAAGGCTAAGGGGGATTCTCTAATTCATAAAGATTTCCTGATCTCTCCCATGTGTGATCTTTTAGAACTTGATGCTTTAAAACATTATTTTGATTGAATTGGTTATAGTGTCTTGTCATAATTTACAGTTCCAGAGGAGAGTTGCAGTCCTTTTGCCTTTGTTTTGGTGCAGATTATACTTCTCACCATATATTCTTTTTTGCTATACCATGGCTCATCTGATAAGAGTTACTGTGTGACTCATCAGTGAAGGGGCAGAGGCTAGTGCTTCGAAAGCATTCATTTAATTGGGAAGGGCAAAACTGAAGGAGTTGCAGATGAGAAGCAGAGTTTTACTGTGATGATCTTGTCCATAATAGTTACCTCTAATTGTAGATCATTCTTCCTCAGCCTTAGTGATTATTAGGACTTACTTTCATGTTTTGTTTTCTTGTTACCAAATTTAGGTTGATGGTAAAGTGAAAATCCAAATTTTGAATCCTGTTTCCCAGTTGGTGCCTAGCACCTTTTTTTTTTTTTTTAATGTATTTATTTGGCTGTGCCGGCTCTTAGTTGTGGAACGCGGAATCTTCGTTGCCACACGTGGGATCTTTCGTTGTGGTATGCGGGATCTAGTTCCCTGACCAGGGATTGAACCCAGGCCCCCTGCATTGGGAGCATGGAGTCTTAACCACTGGACCACCAGGGAAGTCCCCGATGCCTAGCTTTTTATGGCAAGAGATGCTTGCCTTAGACATGCTTTTTCCTTCTCGCTTTTCCCATGAATTCACCAATAGGATTGTAGATACAGTTTACTTTGGGGCTGAATTAAGCAGTAGCAGAGGAATTTGTGTCAGCTAACTGATGGTATCACTAGGTAGGGGCACAGCAGGGATTAGGAGTATGGTCTTGCAGCTTGATGATCTGCTTTGCAATCTGTCCTCTTACTCCACAGTTGTGAGCCAGACCTGGTACCTCAGTCACTCATAGTCTAAGAGCATTGGATATTCAACTCTGAACTTAATTGGTGCCATAAAACACTATTACTCTGAGAAAGAATTAAGATGCTGTTGTGTTCTTATTAATAGCCATGAATTTCACTTCTCTCTTCCCTACTCCTACCTGAAATTGTCGTCTTTGAGGGGAAGCAGATACCTTGGGCTTCTTATTTTTTCATCCTGTCCTTATTCTGGAAGGTGCTCAGGTGTGTTAACATAGTCTTTGTTCTCTGGGACTTCTCCAGTGTGTTGTCTGCATGTCAGCCCAGCTTATCTCAGTGCATGTCAACTCCAGGGCATCTTGTGCTCCACATGACTTCACTCAGCACCAATGTGAATCCTGTGGCTGTTAATAGAGATAGAGTCCCAGCTCTGAGGGCAAAATCATGAGAACAGGAAAATATCTGGGCTGAAACATTTCATATCTCATTTAATGGAATTGACCACTTCATAGAAAAGACAGTTTGAATCATTGTCCTCAAAGGTTTCCCCTTTGAGATACATATTTTGACCTTTTAAAATGTAGAGCATTTGTGTTTTCATGGATGGTTATGTTTAGTCGTGTAAGGACCAACTCTGCCATACTTCAAATTTTCAGGTTCCTAAAGAGAAAGATGAAATGGTAGAGCAAGAGTTTAACCGGTTGCTAGAAGCTACATCTTACCTTAGTCATCAACTAGACTTCAATGTCCTCAATAATAAGCCTGTGTCCCTTGGCCAGGCATTGGAAGTTGTCATTCAGTAAGTACTTTGATACCACTTGTTGTATTATAAATTCCGTTTATAGATTTGCTATTTAATGTTTAAAGTTTTCGTCAAATCTTATTTGAGCTAGTTTTCACTTATTTTCTTGTGAAATAGTTAAATCCAAAAGTAAAGCTATTTAAAATAATTACATGATCCTTAAGGCTCTCTCGATTGTAAAATTCATGTCTTTTATGGTATTAACTGTATTTAACATAGCCTAGAAAATAATTTGCCACCAGCCAACTTTCTTATTCCAAAGTATTCGAAATTTTAGAGGGCCTTGATGCCATCAAATGTTTCTGATGGGCACCTGTCTTACTCAGCAAGGCTGGCTGTGTGGCTAGAGCATATATATTTTCTCTTCAGGTTACAAGAAAAGCATGTCAAAGATGAGCAGATTGAACATTGGAAGAAGATAGTGAAAACTCAGGAGGAACTGAAAGAACTTCTTAATAAGGTGAAATTTTATATTTTTTTCATAGCTGAAGATGCATCAGTAGGGGGAAAAGGCCTTTAATTTAGAAATTTAAAAGTATTTCTGATTTTTTTCTCCATGGGAGAGAAAGTCTGCACAGCTTATTATTGTTAAGAAAATAATGACTAGCAAAAGGCACTGTATTATCTGTCAGTCTTTCTGTATGGCATTATTGGTAAATTGATGCTGGGGGAAATAGATCTTTCCTGTGTCAGGTTGCTGTTGACTGTTGCAAAGCTGGCCTAGTGCCCTCTGCTGAAGTCTAGGATGAGAGGGAGATCAGCTGTGCTGGGGTTAAGTTCCCACTGATGAAGACAACATGTCAGCAGCCAGTACCATAATTCATTGGCATAATTATTTCACTTGAGGTGCCATTATGGGGATATTCCCCAGTGGTACCTATAAGGGGGCCTTTGTTTATGCCACCTTCCAGAGCCCCAGCTCCAGACTGGGAAACCATTTGTTTCTCCTCATCCTGCCAGCTGCAAACTTGGGGGCTTTATCATGCAAAATCTGGGTGCATCTTGTGACTGGACTCTTGCCTCATTCTCTCACTGTACCTCATTTCTTCATCTTGTCAAATGAAGAGGTCTCTGGCACACCTTCTTCATGGATTGTGGTGTGGATGAAGTGAGAAGAGTGGCTAGAACATGGCCAGCTGGTGTGAAGCTCCCAGTCTCAAGCTTTAACCTTCACCCTAGTCTTGTGTAGCACCACCAGAAATCCGAAAAAACATTGGGAATGGTTCTTTAAGGTTCTTTGTGTGATGATTTGACCTTTTACATATTTAAAAAACAAATCATGACAATTTGTTTCCCAAAGCAATAAGTTTAATTGGAGACAGTTTGTTTTTCCTGGTAGTTAATTTTTAATTAATTATTTTTATTAATGGGACATTCCTAGTTCTCCCATTTGTTTTGGAAGACAGAGCCAATCCTACTTATCTGATAGTGATGTGATACCTCTATTGAGCCATATAGGATTTTTTCCTGTTTTAAAATGTCATTAAAAAAAATTTTTTTTTAATGTCATGATTTGGAAGAGGTATTTAAGACCTTGCAGTATAACCCTGTTTTGGTATAATAGCAGTTTAGGGGAGGAACCAGAGTACATGCTTTGGCGATGAATTACTGTCTGGAATGGTAAATTTGTATTTTTCCCTCTTAGATGGTAAATTTAAGAGAGAAAATTAAGGAACTCCATCAGCAATACAAAGAAGCATCTGAAGTCAAGCCACCCAGAGATATCACTGCTGAGTTCTTAGTGAAAAGCAAACACAGGGATCTAACTGCCTTATGCAAGGTATGGTATACATACGTGCCTCATTGATTTTTACTTGGAATCCTAAGAAATAGTATAGATCCGGGAAACTTTGGAAAAGAGAGAGCCGCTAGCCAATCACAGGTGCCTGTAGTAGGAAGAAGAGGGTTTTGTACACAGGAGCTGTGGGAACTTAAGGGGTTAATTTTGTCTGCTTTTTCTGCAGAATTCCTGCCTTGTTTTCCCAGTGTCATCCTTTAGCTTACCCACATCTCAGTTTAGCCCTCTGTCATAGTTTATCTCTGACAATTTAAAATAATGATAATGAACATGGACTTCAGAGTTATTGAGTGGAGTCAAACTGTCTGGTTGAAATCCCTAACTTAGTATCTCCTAGCCAAGTGACCTTAGACTCCTTAGTCACCTCATCTGTGACATGGTGTTAGTACTGCCTCACTTGTAGGGGGTCTGAAGTGCTTATTCCATGCTCAGGACACAGTAAATGCACCGGAAGTGGTAGTCACTATTCTTTTTCATCCTTACTGTGTAGCATACTAGTATGTTTCTTTATTTCCTCCTTCTGCATCCTCCCCCACCTCCCCGCCCCCACCCCCCTCAGTCTTAATTCTAGGCTAACATTGTAACTTGTCTCCAAGAACAACCATCCCTGAGCCCTGACCCAACCTCCAGCCTTCAGCTAAGGCACACTTGTAGATTGACCTGAACAGGGATATGGTCCAGGCCTTACACCTTGTGGTATAAATAACTAGGTGGGTCTCTGACCCATCAAGATCAACCCAGTTCTCTTAATTTTATCAGGAATATGATGAATTAGCTGAAACACAAGGAAAGCTGGAAGAAAAACTTCAAGAATTGGAAGCCAATCCCCCAAGGTAAGGAAAACACGAACGCTCAGAAAGATAGCTTTTACTGTTCCTTCTGTTAGATTTAAAAGAAAAATTACAAAGCACCCTGGGCTTTTATTTATGTTCAGTGAATGTATTGTAAATTGTTTAATGAATGGAAGGTATCTGTGCACATAGGACTATTTGTCAGGTTCCTTAATCCTCTGCTCTTATATTTTAATGTGTAACAGTGTCCTAGATACTTGAATCTTAGGTATCTTTTTTTAAAAGATAGCCTTTTCCCATAAGATTTGATACATGAGTGAAAATTGTCTTTGAGTGGCGTAGGAGGTGGTATTGCTTTAAACTCTCATAATTCTGGGGACTAGGAAAGTATTACACTTTATTTCCATTGGGTTTTTGATAGTGAACTCTTACATGGTGACAGCGTGCTGCATGTTGCATCCGGCCTCCACATACATCTACTCTTTTCTGTAGTCAGGGATGCTACCCATTCTTGCTTTAAAAAAAAAAAAGTCCATGCTTTATTCAGAATATAAAACAAAAAAAATTTTTTCAAGTAAGCTTTTATAATGCAAGGTAACAGTATAAAGAAGACTTTTTTTTTCCCGGAATTACAGTCAGGCCTTTGCTTTATGCAGTAAGCTTGGCCTGCTCTAGGCAGCAGGAATAAAGGGCTTAATAAAACAGATACGGTCCTGCTTTTTGAGTTAGAATTTCTTCACATGAGGCATAGTCCCACTGAGATCATCCACATCAGCCCATTGAGAATCGTAGTAATGTCCTTTAATAACCTTGTGCTCCTTTGTTCTCATTTTGCAGTGATGTGTATCTCTCGTCAAGAGACAGACAAATACTTGACTGGCATTTTGCAAATCTTGAATTTGCTAATGCCACACCTCTCTCTACACTTTCCCTTAAACATTGGGATCAGGTAAAATTCCCTTACCATGTATTTTGTTGCACATGTCTTTGAGAGGGCTCCTAAGATAAACTGTTAATTTGTTTGTATGTGTGTTTTTAAACAGCTTTATTAAGATATAATTTATATTCAATAACACTCACCTATTTTAAGTGAGCAGTTTGATGTTTTGCGAGACTTACATAGTCATGAACCACCACATCCACAATTAAGATACAGAACATTTCTGTCACCCTGAAAAGTTCTCTTGTCCCTTTGCAGTCAATCCCCAGCCCTTCTGCTCCTGGCCCTACACAACCACTGATTTGCTTTCTGTCACTATAGTTTTGCTTCTTCTAGAATTGCATGTAAATTGGAACATACAGTATATAATTGTACACTATATAGCCTTTTGTGTGTGCCTTTTTTGATTTTGAGATTCACTGTTGTTGTGTATATCAATAGTTTGTTTCTTTTTGTTGTTTAGTAATATTCATATCCATTGTATGGATATGGCCACAGAATGTACCCATTCACTGATACATGGACAGACATTTAGGTTGTTTCGTTTTTGGCTATAAATGATTGAAGCTACTGTGAACGTTCATGTCTTTCTCTTGGGTAAATATCTAGAAGTAAAATATTTGGGTTTGCGGGAAGTAGATTTTTAACTTTATAAGAAACTTCCAAACGGTTTTCCACATCTCATTCTCAGCAGCAGTAGTGTATGCCAGCCCCAGTTGCTCCATAACCTCACCAACACCTGGTATCGCCAGTTTTTAAAATTTTAACCATAAAATGGTTGTATAGTAGTTTTTCATTGTCGTTTTAATTTGCATTCCTGTGATGACTAGTAACGGTGAAGCATCTTTTCATGTGCTGATTGGCCATTCATATGTCAATTATTTGGTGAAAAGTCTGTTCAGAGCTTTTGCCTATTTAAAAAAATCTACTGTCACAACATTGTTAATCAAATATACTCCAATATAAAATAAAAAGTTAAAAAAATTAAATTTATAAAACAGTTGTTTGTCCTCTTGTAAGAGTTCATTATGGTCTGTAAATTCTGGATACAGTTCCTTTGTCAGATTTATGTTTTGAAAATACTTTCTTCCAGTCTACAACTGGCGTTTTCATTTTCTAAATGGTACCTTTCAAACAGCAAAAGTTTTTAATTTTATGAAGTCCTGTTTATCAACTCTTTCTTTAGGCTTTGTGCTTTTTGTGTCCTGAAAAATCTTTGTCTAAACTGGGATTGCAAAAATTTTCTCCTGTTTTCTTCCTGAAGTTTTATGAGCTTAGCTCTTATGTTAGGTCTATGACCCATTTTGAGTTAAATTTTTGTGTATAGGGCTTCCCTGGTGGCGCGGTGGTTGAGAGTCCGCCTGCCGATGTAGGGGACATGGGTTCGTGCCCCGTTCCGGGAAGATCCCGCATGCCGCGGAGTGGCTGGGCCCGTGAGCCATGGCCGCTGAGCCTGCGCTCCGCAACGGGAGAGGCCACAACAGTGAGAGGCCCGCGTACCGCAAAAAAAAAAAAAAAAAAAAAAAATATTTCTGTATAGTGAGAGGTGAGGTAGGGTTCTTATTTTTCCATATGGTTATCTAATTAACTATTCTAGTACCATCTTTTTTCCTTATTTGTTTTGACACCTTTGTTGAAAATCAGTTCTTCCATTCAATATCTGTCTATCCATATGCCACTGTCACACTGTCTTGATTACTTTTGCTTTATAGTACATCTTGAAATCAGGTAGTATAAGTTCTTCATCTTTGTTCTTTTTTGAAAGTGTTTTGACTGTTTTAGATCTTCTATAAAGTTTTAGAATCAGCTTCTCAGTCTCTACAAAAAAAAATACCTTCTGGGATTGTCATCTTAACAATAGTGAGTCTTCTAATCCTTGAACATGGTATATCTCTCCATTTATTTAGGTTTCCTTTAATTTATCTCAGCAGTACTTTATAGTTCTCAGTGTACCAGTCTTACACATCTTTTGTTAAATTATTTTTAAGTGTTTTCAGTGTGATTTACTCTTGAACTGGTGAGAAATCACCAGGTTTCTTAGATGCTGAATGGACCAATCTCTAAATCTGAGACTTTGGCCAGACTTAAGATTGTATAGAAGTAAATACTATATTTTGCTTACATATTTTCATTTTCATTATACATTTTCCTAGTAAAATTATTTTTACTTCTTCATCTTCAGATTATGTCCTGGTATTCTTTAGAATTTGAATTATGGCAAGGGTTGCACTTGCTAGTGGTACAAATCTTGTAGAATTTCCAGTTTCTTTATGGTTTTCCATGTAAACACTAAATTACCTCTAGTCACTGATCTATCATTTGATGTTGCAATATGTATTCATTTGTAATCGTATTAAATTTTGAATATAGGTGGTGTGAACTGATCTATATGGGGAACAAATGAGTCAGTCACTAAGTAGTGAGAGTTGTGCTGCCAGCCCAGTATATTTTTATCTAATTCCTTAGAATCGTGGTGTTTTCCCCAGGAGTTTCATGAAATTAGAAATATCAACTAGCCTTCAAAAATTGCTCTATTTGGAAAATTTTTCAGTAAATTCAAAGACATGAAATCATTTTGGGAATTCTTCCAGGCCAAATCTTGACTTCATGGATTATCTTGGGCGAATCTTTATAATCCTAGATTACGTCTGGTTTGACCAACTTTAGTTTTGGAAGTCTTCCTCAACTTTAAAACCTGTAAGTTTAAGCCATAAAAACTGATTTTGCTTTTATGTAGAAGAAAATGTAATTAGAATGGTGAATCTGATATCCTACCACATCTATAGTGCATACAAAAGCCAAACAAACTTTTATGGTATCATCCGAATTTACTGAATAGGCTTCCTTCCCTCTCCTGCCCGCCATGGGTAGTCTGGACTTGGTGGTGTAGGACTGTGATGATAAAAAGTCTATCACAGGGCTTCCCTGGTGGCGCAGTGCTTGAGAGTCCGCCTGCCGATGCAGGAGACGCGGGTTCGTGCCCCGTTTCGGGAGGGTCCCACATGCCGCGGAGCGGCTGGGCCCGTGAGCCATGGCCGCTGAGCCTGCGCGTCTGGAGCCTGTGCTCCGCAAATGGGAGAGGCCACAACAGTGAGAGGCCCGCATAACGCAGGGAAAAAAAAAAAAAAAAGTCTATCACAGAAAAAAAGAAACTGCCCTAATCTCACTGCCCAGAGATAGCTATTAGTGACATTCTGGCATTTTTTCCATTTTCCCTTTAGTTTCCTGGGGCAGTTGTAGTGGAAGACTGAGTGATTATTCTTTAATTTCTGTCTTAGAATGTTGACTTTCCACAAGCTGGTGTTTTTTCAGTGTTATTTTATAGGACTCAATATAAATGGCATAAGTTAGATTAAGAAAGTGTGAAAATATGTCCTTTTCTGTCTTCTTTAGGATGATGACTTTGAGTTTACTGGCAGCCACCTGACAGTGAGGAATGGCTACTCATGTGTGCCTGTGGCTTTAGCAGAAGGCCTGGACATTAAACTGAATACAGCAGTTCGGCAGGTTCGCTACACAGCTTCAGGTACGTCTTTACTGGTAAGATAAATCTCTTACTTTGAAACATGGTACTGATCTTTTGTTGAGTTTGACCTACAGAAAAAATTTTAGGTACATCTCCTGATAGAATGTCTCATAAACTATGATTCCTGAATTTAAAATTTTGCATTTACAAAAGTACTGAGGCTGTAGATCCTTTAGAGGCTCTGACCCCATCATAGTATAAACCAGAAAATTGGGGCAATTTTTAGAGTCTCAGTTTGTGCATATTAGTTTGGTATTATAGTAAAGAGCCAGGGAGTTTGGATCTAATTTTGCTAAGTATGCTCTTAAATACCAGGATTTGGGCCCCTAGGGCTCCAGTGGGACCCACCCCTTGTATTTCACCATCTGCATCTTGGTTTTTGGCTTTTCCTATTTCAGGTGTGCTAACTGCTTAGGCTGGTTTCTCGTTCTGCGAGCAGTTTTGCTGATAGGTTGACTTCAGAGATGAAATTGCCCTGTGATTCCTATGGCAGTAGGCTCTGTGCTCATTATTGCTGCTTTCAGGGTACATTTCATGTGGAGTGCAGAGCCCATCATCCACCCACCTTTGGAATTAATAGTCTTGAACTCCTTAAGAAAGTTAGTCACCCCCGCTCTCTAAGGGCTCTCATGACTAGTGGAGATGTAGCCACCAGTCTTGCCTTCCATGGCCCCTTTTCTAGAGTTGCTGAGATCACCACAGATGATTTTTTTAACAACCAGTGAAACAGTTTGGGTTTTGGGGTTGTTGTTTTTTTTTGCAGTACACGGGCCTCTCACTGTTGTGGCCTCTCCCGTTGCGGAGCACAGGCTCCAGACACTCAGGCTCAGCGGCCATGGCTCACAGGTCTAGCCACTCGGAGGCATGTGGGATCTTCCCGGGCCGGGGCACAAACCTGTGTCCCCTGCATCGGCAGGCGGACTCTCAACCGCTGCGCCACCAGGGAAGCCCCTAGTGAAACAGTTTTTTGTTTTTTTTTTTTTTTTGCGGTACACGGGCCTCTCACTGTTGCGGCCTCTCCCGGTGCGGAGCAGTCTCCGGACGCGCAGGCTCACGGGTCCAGCCGCTCCGCGACATGTGGGATCTTACCCGACCGG